TAAATATAAGGTGAATAATAAATATTATTATCATATATATATATTCACACATTATTCTAATATCTGATATTATTAATTTGAAATTTGATATATATATATATATATATATATTCTATCATATATTAATTGGTTTAGGTAAATGTAAAATTCATTTTATATTATTTTCAAAAAATATAATCAATAAATTAGTTATACTAATGTACTTATACGGATTTTTTTTCTTTTTATAACTAAACTTAAACAAATAGCAACAATAAATTAATGAATAATAAAAGTAAAAAAAAATTGGTAAATAGTGAAAAGATAATATAACAGAAAAATTAAATTTAAAAATGTATAAAAATTCATAAGAATTAAAAGTAAGAGAATTCATTTAGGATATTATTTTCATGTTTCCCCAAACAAAGTCAACGGAATTTAAAAGAGTGAATCTGATGGATATTTTTTGTTTTTATATCAATAATCACAGTTAAAAACTAAAAAAGTTAATGGAAAATCACAAAAATTATTACAGTATAATAATAAAAAATTTAAAAATATTTATAAAAATAACAAAACATAAAAAATATTAAAATATAAACATAAAGATAATATTTTTTGAAGAAAAAAATGGTTAAACCCGAATCTATTAAAAACACAGATCTAATCCCTGTGTACAGTAATCCACATCTGTGTAGTGTAAAATCTATTAAAAACACAGATCTAATCCCTATGTACAGTAATCCACATCTGTGTAGTGTAAACAAGAAAATATGACTTAGTTTCGCATGACAGGTGGTGGATCAAACCTAAAATGTGGTGGCCTTTTCCCTTACCACTTAACCACAAACTCTCGGTCAAAAGAAGAAAACATTATTATGATATAAACACAAGATCTGTATTGTATCCGTACATATGTAAAGTTTACAAAGGTTACATAATTAATACAAAAAATCCCTCAGTCATATATCTGAACTGACATGTAAATTTAAAAACGTATATTTACAAACTCTGAGTGAAAGGCGCAATATAATATAACTTAAAAATGAACACAAAAAACACAAATAAAACTAGATGATCAAAAATAAAAACAAATAAAAAGATATACACCATAAAAGAAAATACATAGGATAGCTCCATTAAAACTATCTCAACAACCGTATTAGAAAATTTAAGTAACTGAGATTGATTTTGAATATCATAAAATCAAATAATTTCAACCGAAAGAGATGATAAAAATAAAGAATAAAACTATGAATATAATGATTTACACATAATATATAATCGAAATTTTCAATATAGAAACAAGTACTAAGCAAAATAATTAATGAAAACAAAATTCTGCGAGAAACAAAAACTCAACCCTAAAAATACTATAATATTATATAAGAAAAAATGTAAATAAATATAATATAATATAATATTGAAAATGGAAGTATGAAAATGAACAAACTAAGAAAGAAAAAATGGAATTGAAAAAGCTCATGAAGCTGTGGATTTGCCTTCTAGATTTCAAGATCTTCTATGTTCTTAGGACACATAATGGTTTTTCTGATTCTTTAGCTAAAACTGCTTAATCTTTCTATCGGGATCTTTTGTATGTTGGTTGTTCTATTCCGGTATGGTTACCTAGGTCACCTCAAGCTTGAGTAATATATCAGCCTTTCTATGTCAAAAAAAAAATATCGTAAGAAAAAAAACAATATTAAATGTAAAGAATAATATGTGTCTTTTTTAGGATGATGTATTATAATATTACAATTATGAGAAAGATTACATAGATGATTCAACAACCGACAATAGTACATGTCTTATGATGATCTACACCTAACTACATCACCTAAGCTGTTCTACGAAGATTCATGCCTGATCGAGTTTACTTTCACTATGTTAAAGATCTCTTATAAGTTTTTCCTTTGTAATCTGCATAATTGTTAAATAAATCGCTTTCGCCAAGGATTGAAACCTAGACTTCCTGATGTAGAAGCATTAATGAATCCTTAGATAAACCACTAGTCCAAGAGGGTTTCCACAATATGTGTCTCTTTAATTCTATGGTTTGAGTGATGGTTCAATAATAATTTTGTACCATGAGATTTAAGTTTCAAATGTAGGTGGCAGAGTTCTAGCGGTGTAACTGTTAGCGGTCATTATCGCTTCAGTTTTAGGATTTTGCCACGGTGGACACCAGTTCTCTCTTTTGGTTTGATTACGATTTTTATACTTACTATGTAATTCCGGTTTTTTTATTCTTGACCAGTCCAATAGCTCTGGTTATTTATTTATTTTTGGTTCGGTACCGAATTATTTATTTGGTTCTAAAATTTTTTCGTGTATTTAGAAAATTTGATTTGGTTTCAGTTCGGTTGTTTTGGTTTTCTTTTCAATTTATATAACAAAGTTAGGAACAGCCTATTGTAATTTCATATTCCATTCGGTTCCAGTTTTTTTTGTTAACTCGGGTTAAAAGTAAGAAAATTTGGATTTTTTCAGATCCAACATCATATTGTTTTGGGTTTTCAAACAATTGAGATAATTTTAAATATTTTCCGAAATCCCAAAATTTTTGTATATTCTGGTTTATAAATGAGATCAAGACTATTTAATTATTTTAAAATTGGATTAGTACACTGAAATGATTTGACGGATTAATGGGAGTGAGAAATAAGAGCTAGTCAGTCACCATTTCACTCAGAAATAGAATCTCTCATTTGGAAGAACTTAAGACAGTTTAATGTTACATTTGCAACATATTTTCTAAGATGGTGAAGATGGTTTCGGAACCAGAAGAATAGTCAGTCTTTGCAAGTTACCTGAAAGACATATAGATCTTGAAGAAAAGTTTCCATAGCTCAGAGATTATTCATATACCACAGACGCATAATTCAAGGGCGGACAGTCTAGCACGTAGTGCAAAGAATCAATTGTCGCTTGTCGGTCATATGAATATAGAGCTACTAGTTTGGTTCTCATAGTCTATATGAGTCTGTTTAAATTGATGAAAAAAATTGAATATAGTTAATATATATAAGTATATAAACTGTATTATAGAAATTTGAATTCATTTGATTCTCGATTCAGATTTCTTTTTTTACGATTCTAAGTTATAAGATTCGTTGGGTAATTGATAGGATCTAAACCTAAGTCGAACTTAATTTTCGATTTGGTTTGGTTCTCTGGTTTAGGATAAATGTGTTTATGATTACAGTCCAATAAATGATTGTTTGGCTAGATCTGGTGTATTGTTTTAAAAAAAAAATAATGTCCTTAGTAAGGCTGGACAAAAAATTCAAAACCAAAATCCACAGAACTAAACTGAATCTGATCTAAAAATAATAAGAAATCCGATAAAAATTGGTTAAATATTCGAAAAGATTCAAAATTTTGATAACTGAATCTGATTCAATAAATATTTCAGATATCTAAATATATTAAAATTAGATTTATATATTTAAATACTAAAAGTATCAAAATATATATACGATATTTTGAAGTTATCCAAAATACTTGAATATATATATATATATATATATATATATATATATATATATATATATATATATATATATATATTGTCAAAATCAAATATCTAAAATAGATAAATAATACTCGAAATACCAATAATACTTAAAATATATATTGATTATCAATCTAAATATTCAAACCAAAATAATCTTATATATTAAAACAGAAGTCATAACCTTGATTCATGTGTGATTTTTTAAAAAATGAACTATTCCTTAGAAAGATTATGAAGATTATCAAATGTTACATAATTTAATAATAATATCTTTAAATATCTTTGTTTTTCTATTTGTAATACAAATGAAATAACTCCAAAAAAATCTTTTTGGCATCTTTTTAAATTGTATTTCCATAATATTACCCTATATCTTTATCTTTTATTTGAAATACACATATTTCTGTTTAAGATATTAAAATTTATTTAGATAACATTATACATTCCTAAATTCTAAATACAAAGTTATATACTAGAGTTTGACCCACACAGATTTTTCATTTATAAATAGAACACTTTGATAGTATTATAAATAATGTAAATATATGATTTACATTTAATGTTCTATGTTATATAACTATAATTTTTTTGATTGTTATTACTTACTAATATATTTTTGAGTTTGGTACATAAATTATAATTTGAAATAATCAAATATATAATCTTCTTCAATATAAAGTTTTAGTTTCTGCAATTTGCGTACAATACATTTTAACATTTATTTAGATATACTATAAATAAATATTTGTCAATGATAATTTATATTTTCATGTTATGTTTAAAATTGATACTTTAACATCTATTATTTTAGTATTTTACGAAATTTTATAAATAAATATATTATTATTTATTGATAATTTTTTTTATAAATTATAAATAAAAAGAAAACCCGCACGGTTGTGCGGGTCAAGATCTAGTTTTTATATTAAGTTAGGTATTTTAACATACATTATTTAAATTTAAATTTTATATATTATTGTATTTTTTAGATTTTAAGAAATTTAAAATATATGAATTCATATATTTAAAAATAATTTAAACTGATTATTCGAATCCGTAAAGATCCTATCCGAATCTGAAACGAAATTTATGAATATCTCAAAAGTGACTAAAATTCCCCAGAAAAATTAAAACTGAATATATTTGAACCAAATGAATATATACCCAATAATTAATGTTCCAAAACATAATAATAAAAACGTAATTTACTGCAAAAAAATAAATAAGATGAAATGTTTCTAAAATAGGATCGAAAGCTGAATTGAATAATAAGTTGAGTTACAGTTCAATATAATTGTCCAACAATGTTCACAAATTATATATAAATATATACATATTAAATTTTAATTTGTAAATTTAAAAGCAGTTTTAGTAAAAGAGATTTGAGAGGGAAAAAAAAAACAAAAAAGTTGGAAAAAAATGAGAGTGAGAAAACAAACCCGCCGTTGGAAACAAACCCGCCCATAGAAAAAAGACATGTTTTGACTGATGAAAAGGAATAGCCCATGGTTTCGCTCCACTCTCCTACGAATCTATCTATCTTCTTCCTCAAAAATCCACTTTTATCGAATCCCTTACCCTTTTAAAACACATTCCCTTTTTTTCTCACCGTCTCCTCGTTTATACCAAACACTGTTCGTTCTTTTATCTTTTTCATCTTCTTCTTCTCCCTGTCCGAATCAATAACCATATTGAATGGGAGCTGGTACAGTTGTTGTGAGAGATCGAGTGCGGAAAGATCTCTCTGAGATTTCAAACAAAACCAATATTCCGGCGACGAAACCCATCGTTTCCTCCGCCTCTCCGGAGACTCGTTCAATCTCACGGAAGAAGATCCAACGGCGGAGCAAGAAAGCCGTGATCTCTCCCGTACAGAAGCTATTCGAAACTTGCAAGAAAGTATTCGCTAATGGCAAACCCGGCGTCGTACCGTCCCAAGAACACATTAACATGCTTCGAGCCGTTCTCGGTAAGTTCCATAATCCTTTTTTGTAGATTGTGAAAGTTTTGGAACATGAGTTATGTATGTCTGAATCTATATGTTTTGTCTGTTTCTCTCTTGCATTAGACGAAATCAAGCCTGAAGATGTTGATTTGAGCCCTAAGATGCCTTATTTCCGATCTAAATCGACCGGGCGACCTCCAGTGACGTATCTCCACATCTACAAATGTCATAGCTTCTCGGTACCAATCTTGTTTTCACTTTAAAGAATCTTGAATTCTTTTTTTTTTATTGTATACTAAATTTTTTATTCTTTTGTGTATGTGTGTTACAAGATGGGCATTTTCTGTTTACCACCAACTGGTGTAATCCCACTTCACAATCACCCGGAGATGACTGTGTTTAGTAAGCTTTTGTTTGGTACAATGCACATCAAATCCTATGATTGGGTCGCTGATTCTCCCCGTAAGTTGTGTTATTTATTACAACGAACATATTTATTGTACTTGTTACTAAGATTGGTGTTTTGTTATTTCGTGAATCAATGTAGAGCCGAGTTCGGATACTCGTTTGGCGAAAGTGAAAGTAGATTCAGACTTTACAGCACCTTGTGACACTTCTATACTCTACCCTGCCGATGGAGGGAATATGCATTGCTTCACCGCGAAAACAGCTTGTGCGGTTCTTGATGTTCTTGGTCCTCCGTACTCCGACCCTGCAGGACGTCACTGTACTTACTATCTCGATCACTCGTTCTCAAGCTTCTCAGGTACTGTTCTGTTCTAGTTTGGATTTGTTTCACTAAATATGAAAATATCTGACTGGAGAAATCAATGGACAGTTGATGGAGTTGAGGTTGGGGAGGTGGAGAAGGAAGGGTATGAGTGGTTGAAGGAGAGGGAAGAGGAGCCTGAGGATTTGACTGTTACGGCGATGATGTATAGTGGACCAATAATCAAAGAATGAATGTGTAGGAAAAAAAGAATTCTCTTTTTCGTTTGTTGTTCTTTCTTTTAACTTCTTTTTATGTGTGATTTTTGGGTTTCTGTTGGTTTTGTCTGTATATAAAAAGAAGTCTTTGAAAGTACACACAACACAAGGACAAATCTTGAATTTGGATAAGGCAGAATAGTAGCGCAAGTACACATTTTGTCGGAATATTGTACTGTTTAGGCATCATCACCATGATCCTTTGTTAGAAGTTGTTGAGGTGTCTTTCACATAAATATAAGTTTGTAAAGTCAACAAACAAGGATTCATGTAGCTCAGATGCTCGAGCGCTTAACGTGCAGAGCCCCCCGCATCTCCCATTTATATGTTGAGACCAGTAAAGGGCTACGAAGTTCTTGCATGCTTCAAATAAAAAGCTGTTTGAGATTTAATATATAAATTTCACTTGGGGATGTAGCTCAGATGGTAGAGCGCTCGCTTAGCATGCGAGAGGCACGGGGATCGATACCCTGCATCTCCAATTTTTAATATTCCTTGTACTTTATTAGTACAGTACAAACGACCACGATATTTTGTAGCGATGCATATGCAATGGTGAGGTTCAATGGTGAATCCTTAGCCATTGTTTAATATTTTTTTTTTATTTTTTTTTGTTTGAATAGTTAAGGATCCGAAATAAAATTGTCTCTCTAATGGTGAGTCCGAAGATGGAGTCCTTACAAAAAAAAAATAATAATTTGGAAACTTTAATTTTATTAATTGCATTATTAAAAAAAAATACAAGGATTATAAATAAACATATAAAAGATACACTAATTAATTTTCATCACCAAACTTGTTCCAAATATTTTCGATTAAATCAGTCTTCAATTGTTGATGGTTACGGCTATCACGAAGATCATTTCGATTAGGAAACATATTATGCAGATTTGTAGGTCTCTTGGTCTCGACCTCTGAACTTCTGGTGACGTCTCCTTCTTCAAATTCTGAAATATCGTACTGCATGTAACCATCTTGTTCATTCTCAACTATCATATTGTGTAGTATGATACATGCTTTCATAATCTTCCCTATCTTTTCTTTGTTCAATGTACGTACCGGGTTTCTGACAATCGCAAATCGGGCTTGCAATACTCCAAAAGTTTGCTCTACATCTTTTCGTGCTGTTTCTTGAACTTTAGCAAATAGCTCTTGTTTAGGACTCTGAGGGAGTGTGATAGATTGGATAAATGTTGACCATTTTGGATATATACCGTCTGTGAGGTAATATGCCAACTTATACATGTGTCCGTTGACCATGTACTTTACCCTGGGAGCTCGACCTTCTAAAATGTCATCAAACACAGGAGACCGATCGAGAACATTAATATCATTTAAGGTACCTGAGGACCAAAAAATGCGTGCCATATCCAAAAATCGTGTGAAGCTACTGTCTCTAAGACAATTGTTGGTTTTCCTGATCCACGTGCGTACTGTCCTTTCCAAGCGGTCGGGCAATTTTTCCACTCCCAATGCATACAATCAATGCTCCCGACCATCCCAGGAAACCCTCATGTCATCAAACACAGGAGACCGATCGAGAACATTAATATCATTTAAGGTACATGAGGACCAAAAAATGTGTGCCATATCCAAAAATCGTGTGAAGCTACTGTCTCTAAGACAATTGTTGGTTTTCCTGATCCACGTGCGTACTGTCCTTTCCAAGCGGTCGGGCAATTTTTCCACTCCCAATGCATACAATCAATGCTCCCGACCATCCCAGGAAACCCTCGTTTCTCTCCAATATCGAGTAGTTGTTGAAGATCATCCGGTGTGGGTCGTCTAAGATACTCATCTTCGAATAACTGTATTATTCCGTCCGTAAAATTATGTAAACACAAAAGTGCAGTGGACTCACCAAGACGGAGATATTCGTCAACCGTATCAGCCGCAGAGCCATAAGCAAGCATACGAATTGATGCCGTACATTTTTGTAGTGCTGACAGACCGAACCTCCCGGTTGCATCTCTTCTTTATTGAAAGAATAGAATGTTATCTGATAGCCCATGGACAATACGCAAGAATAAGTCCTTATTCATACAGAAACGACGCCTGAATAATTGTGCCGGGAATTTCGAATCTTTGCTGAAGTAGTCTTTCCATAAGCGGTCGTGTCCTCCTTCACGGTTTCGTTCAATATATGCACGATTCCTTTGGTTACTACTTTGGCCCTCGACTGTATCGTTGAATGTTTCTTCGAATATTTCTTCGAAAACTTCTTCAAATCTTTCTTCGAAAACCTCGTCGGACGAAGATGAAGACATTGTGAACGGATCCTGCGACACAAAATTTATTATAAGTTTTTTTAATCTATTATAAGTTTTTTTAATAAAACCGTAAGCTTTATAAAATGTTCTTAAATTTATTAATTGATAATATAAATATGTAAGTTCAAATTTGTATAAAAATGTATGTTCAAATTTATTATAACATTTTCGATTTATTAATAACCTTTTTCAATTTATTAATAACCTTTTTGACTATTTATTATAACCTTTTCAATTTATTAAAGATATCTAGAAGTGATGATATTAGGTAGATGAGTGATGAGATTAAATATAATTACAAGTTATGAGATTAGGTTGAGATGAAAAGAAGCATATGATTGATTGTTTTGCATGAACACTCGTAATCGTACGTGAGTAACCATATTTAAGCATGTATGTAAATAGAATGGTTGTGAGATGAAGACTAAAAGTGATGAGAAAACTAGAAACAATATTTAAACATGAGAAGAGTACAACATCCATGAACTTACCAAAGTTTTTGCAACAAGACTACAACTCCAAAGTACAACAACAAATATTACAACTTCAGAAGACTAGAGTTTTTAAGTTTGATAGAGAGGAAACATAAAACGATTTATAACATTCCGCAAGCAACAAAGCAATACTTATACAACCTCAAAGCACCACCCGTGACATTCTCCAAGCACCACCCGTGACATTCTACTGCACTTGAGGAATACAACAAAAAACTTCAACTCTCCGTGACTCACCACACCCGTGACTACTGCAGTACCTAAAAGAAGACAAAGACAAAAATTAGTAAATAACAAGCAATAGCACAATGGAAATAAAGATATAGCTTTCTCCATCTAGCATAATTGAAATAAAGATAAAGTTTGTAAATAACAAGCAATAGCAGAATTCATATAAAGATAAAGTTAGTAAATATGTTACTATTCTCATATCATTTCAGATAAAAGTTAGTAAATACCTTACTAAACTCATATCATCTCGGACATGAGTTTAATTTTTAGAGATTCCTCCATCTCAGATAATGGATCTTTTTTGGCAAGTAAACGTTCCAGGATCTTGTGTTTAGAAAGTGTTTCTTTCCTTTCCATGATGACTTGTAGTTGTGACATCTCTTCTTCTTTGCCACTCTTCTTCCTCTTAGCAGTGGCTTTAGCAGCTTTCACACCGACTGGTCTGACTTCTGGTTCGGCTACATCCTCTTCTGTATCAACATCAACAACTTCTTTTCGCTTCTCCTTCCCTCCGTCTTTAGATATGTAGGTAGTGCACCATTTCTGGTCGTGTCTGAGCTCCCTCCACGCATGTTCCAGACTAAACCTTTGCTTGCAAATCTTGAAGAATGAGTCGAGCTCATCATTCATAACATTATCATCATTCGTTCCACTTTTCTGACCCCTCAACACCGCATCATAACATCCAACAAACTTACACACTTGTTCGTTGATCCTTGCCCATCTCTGCTTGGCTGGACGAATCTCTCTAGGTAGCACACCAACTAGTTGAGGGCTTGCATTGTAATAATCAACAATTCTCTTCCAAAAACGTTCAGCTTTCTGGTCACAGCTGACTACGGGGTGTTTGCTGGTGTTAAGCCACGCTCCAATGAGGATTTTATCCTCAATTGGAGACCATTTCCTACGCTCAACACTAGACTGGACAGGAGACTCGACACTAGTTTGGAAAGAAGACTCGACACTAGGTTGGAAAGAAGACTCGAAACTACGTTGGAAAGAAGAGTCGACACCAGGACCTTGGCTACCGAACCAAGCAGGTTCAGGTGACTCAAGATAAACTGAAGATTGACTATACATTAGATTAACAAACCCAGTTGTGTTATTCATGTTTAGACACTACAAGAAAACTAAGCCATTACTAGGAAAATTTACTAGGAAAACATTTCCTCGTAAAAATACTACTAGTTTACTTCGACTTTACGAGGAAACATCTTTTCCTCGTAAGGCTCTCGTAAACTTACGAGAAAAGCGTTTCCTCGTAAAGTGGAAGTAAATTTACGAGGCTCTTACGAGGAAAATGTTATTTTCCTCGTAAAGGCATAGTAGAACATTTCCTCGTAAAGTCCTAGTAAATCTTTACTACGAAATTAGGAGGAAAAAATTTGTTACTACGAAATTAAGAGGAAATGGATAGAAAATATAGAATATTAATCAAAAACGTGTTTTGTACCTACTTTTCCTAGCAATTTCCTAGTAAATGCTCAGATATGAAAATTTCTATAAATACCACCATATGTGATTCATTTGAAACACACCAAAAAAAAATCAGCTATAAGCTTGATCAAACAAAAAAAAATGTCCGGTCCGGGAAGTATTTTCGCGTTGCGGAAGTGGATGTATTCACACAGAGATAATATCGGGAAGGTGACGAAAGAATTTCTCGAAGGGTTGGAGACGTTTATGCATCAAGCAGATTCTACACCACTCACGCAGGAAAGTGGTAAGATGTTCTGTCCTTGTCGGAAATGTTGCAATACCAAATTAGGCCCTCGTGAAAATGTTTGGAAGAATTTAGTTAATAGAGGTTTCATGCCATATTATTATATTTGCTATCAACATGGAGAAGATGCTAGTTGTAGGAATGAAGGTAGCAGTAGTAATCAGGTTGAACCGGTTGATCATTTGCGTAATGAAGGTAGCAGTAGTTATAGCTATCATCACCAAGAGGAACAAATGGTAGATTGTGATAGGGTTCATGATATGGTAGGTGATGCATTTGTAAGTCATGATGATGATGAAGTTGAAGAA